CACTGAAGTCCCCACTGGAAATTACAGTCCATTGAACCATAAAGCTAAAATTGATTGTACACATAAAAAATCCTGGAACAATTGAACAAAGAAAAGAACTTCCTGGAATTCTATGGTAAAATCAGAACTCAAGTGACAACAAAACTTTTACCCAATTTGAACTCACCTGCCCTTGATCATTAAGAAAATATTTGATGTTCCTCCATTTTCCCCTGATGAGAGAAGGAACTAGTTTTTCCTTCATTTAGCCTACATCAAAGCATGGTTATAGATGTCAAAGAAGATGAATTTCAGTCACCAACATTTTTATGGGGTGCTCTCTATTCCATCTTCTTTATATAAATTTCTTATGCTTTTTGTAGAATATTGGAAAGCTAAGGCTAAAGAACCCTAATTGCTATTATTTTTAATTAATTTTTAATTAAAGCTTTATGTATCACACATCATAATTCTAGCAATCCTAAATATGATTTTTACCATTGCCTTCTAAAATATAGAAAGCAATCTCCTTTTTAAGGTACTGTGAGAAACTGTAGTCAGTTCTTTCTACTGGAGTTTATGGAAAGCATTACTAAAAATGCAAATTCTGTTTTGAGACATGACACTATTAATCTTGGAGCTTACTTTTATATTCTGAGATGAAATAATGACATTTTAAGCACTTAAACCTTCACTATGAGCAAAATAGGCAACCGTATATTTTGTTTCAAGTATCTTAATTAAGTTGGTTCCATTGGTATTTTCATGTGTTTAATGTTAAGCATATGCCTATGTACTTTATTGAAATGCTGGATGGTATTTAACAGAATGAATTACATTCCAATAACTAGCATTTCTTTAAGAATCCTAATAATGTAGGAAGTTTGCAAAATAAGCTTTGATTTTCAAGATAAACAGACAAAGTAACTTTTTGTGAGCATTGCCGTTTTATTGCTGCATCCCGTTGTAAATCATGTCTTGAAAGCAAAAGCATCTTCTTTTTAAATGCATTTTTTGAAAAATAGTGCATTATTTTCTCCTGAGCTGTTGAGACAATTTCCTGCCTAGATATGGTGCCCCATTAATTTTAGAGTATAAGAAAAAGTCACTGTGAGCCATAGGGAACAATTTTGGATTTGCTGCACACACATATATCACAATAGATTTGCCTATAGTAGTTCTATGGATGATGTTTAACAAACTCCTGGTTTCCCTATTTTGGGATTAATGTCCTCCTTCCCTCAGGTTTGTGCAGTAACATAGCCTTATGCTACACATAAATGGAGAATTCTTTTCTTGTGTAAAATTTGAAATTTGAATGCAATTACAGGAACAAGAGGAACTCTTTCTAATGAGCCTCAAAAAACCCTGGCCAAAAAACATGTAAAACTCTCCTGTAGAGAAAGAAATTGAGTGCACGGTGTTAGCATAATAGCAAGGGCTGAGACATTGCTTTGCACTACAGTTTTATGGGATGATATTTTAAAAGGTATTCAGAGATTTATGACTTTTTAGGGACAGCTAAAATTGTTTTCACATTTCTAATATTGCTTTCATTAGAATGTTGAAAGTATGTTTACAGTATCAGATTGAATTCTAAGGTGTTACCAAATCATCAAGAATCCCCACTGCTTAAGTATATTCCCTTGTATCCCTATGTATCTTCAGAGGAAAAAATGAGAGGAATGTAAGTGCTTTGTTTTAAAGTATATAATCTGTATTCTGTCATGTACTTCATCTCCCAGGGAAGGTATCTGGGAACTCACTCTGCTGTTTTTATTTATCCTGCCAGTGTAGTATATAGATGAGAGGAGTAAGGTCCAATGGTGTTAAAACAAGACATGAAATATTGATTAATTTTTTTAAAAATTCCTTTTTCCTCCTGAGTATGGCAAATTTCAGATGCTACTGTCAATATAGTACTCTCCAATAAACCTCCATTATCGGAAGGGTCCTGATCTTCATAGTGTTCTTATAAATGGTTATTATGATTCTAAATGGCTTTAAAAGCTCAAGGCTAGTGTTCTTCTGGTGCAAGAGCAGAAAGCAGGTTAGAAGCAATGCAGCTTTTTATCATGGCAGAATGTTACTCTGAAATAACGTCAATCAGATTGGGAATTCTCTTTGCTAGACAGTAGCAGAACATTCTGTTTGAAGAAATGAAGATCCTAACAGGGCAGATAAACAGCTGTACAGTTTTGTAGCTATAAAGGTATGAAGTAAAGAAGCACAATGATAGTTGGTGTCCACCTAATGAAACACGGGTATTTGACACCCTGCCTTTTGTTCTGACTTGTCATTCTTCAGTGCTAAGTTAGCCCTTTATTTATTGTTTCCAGAATGGTCAAAGGCAAAAGGCAGCTAAACAGATACTTAGGAATTATCCTAAGGATAAGGATTTTTCAGGAAAGGTAGGGATAGAAGTTCACACCAGCTAACCTATGAAGGATGATAGACATGGGCAAGGAATAGAAGATGTAGTCCAAACTATTCTGAGTGTTCTCGAGTACAATAAAACTCTCTGGAATTTGAGGTAATTGTTTTTCACTAAAGAAATAAGATGTGTTTAAACTGGAGTGTACTGGAGTTTCTTTAGGAATGTAAAGCTCTTGGAACTTTTCTACTATCCATAATAAAAGGTATTCATCAGGGAAAGAATTTGAATCTGGGTCCTGTATGAGTCGGGTAAATGTCATTATAAAGGTTGTACAACTACTTTTTAGCCCATCATCTTAATTAGTATTTAGTCAAACTTCAACAAGAAAGAGCAAGGCATTAACACAGAGTCTGAGCCAAATCCAATGATTGGCAGATTTACCTAGGAGGCAGGAGACTGTAGTACGTTCTTGCTCTGAACCAGGAAGAAACACCTGAGGTTGGTTCTGTTGTCTCGCAGGAAAGTTGGGTTTTACAGGCTGGATAAGTTGCTATATGGTATTTTTTTCCACATGAAAGCTTTGTTCCTACCCAAGGATGAAAGTGTTTTCAGAAGATTTTGTTGATGGGGATAACTAATTTGCACATAGGCCTACTTCTGAGTTCTTTTGCAGCAAAACTTAATTGTGTGCAAACCTTAGGCTACTTTAACTTACGATGGAGAAAAGACTGCTCCCTGCTGTACCCAAAACGTAAGAGCTAGAAGATGGGCATAAAGCTAAATTATCCTCTCCTGTCACTCACATCCAGCTCTCTCAAACTGAGCAAAAGTTGGGGCTCCATTAAGGTGGTTTTACAACTTCTGTGATATCTTTATTTGGAAATTGGACAAGTTATTTATAATTTTAAGGTAATTATTTTCATTGATTTCAGTCAAACTGAAAGCAATACATGCACAAAGCTGGACTTCAACCAGTGTGTAAGCAATGAGGACTAAGTGTGTTCTTATTACTTATGAAGATTACTTATAAGACCTACTTAAAGCAGTAGGTGTTGCTTGGCCAGGTTATATGGGTAGCTCAGTTGACTCCCAGTACCCAATTGGTAACACTTGTGTGAGCAGAGTGAACAGGATCGGGTCGGCAATTAACAATGCATATGGTTGCTCACGTAGCCAATGTGCGAGACAAATCCTTACACATGTAATTTGTTCTCACTCATGCAGGTAATACTTTTAGACTGATTTAATGCAACTAGTTATTTGAGCAAAAGTTATCGATCTGGCCACTGTCCTTTTGTGCTTTTTTTCTCTGCTATGTTATCTTAAAGAATGATCACAGAATCATAGAATGGTCAGGGTTGGAAGGGCCCTCTGGAGATCATCTAGTCCAACCCCCCTGCCAGAGCAGCTTCACCTACAGCAGGTTGCACAGGATGGTGTCCCAGCAGGTTTTGAATGTCTCCAGTGTGGGACACTCCACCGCCTCTCTGGGCAGTCCATTCCAGTGCTCTGCCACCCTCAAAGTAAAGAAGTCCCTCCTCATGTTAAGATGGAACTTCCTATGTTCAAGTTTGTGCCCGTTGCCTCGTTCTGTCACTGTGCACCACTGAAAAAAGACTGTTCCCATCTACCTGGCACCCTCCCTTTAAGTATTTATAAGTATTGATAAGATCCCCCCTCAGTCGTCTTTTCTCTAGGCTAAGAAGACCCAAGTCCCTCAGCCTTTCCTCGAAAAAAAGATACTCCAGTCCCCTAATCATCTTTGTAGCCCTTTGCTGGACCCTCTCCAGCAGTTCCCTGTCCTTCTTGAACCCGGGAGCCCAGAACTGGACACAATACTCCAGATGTGGCCTCACCAGGGCAGAGTAAAGGGGGAGGATGACCTCCCTCAACCTGCTGGCCACACTCTTCTTGATGCACCCCAGGATGCCATTGGCCTTCTTGGCCACCAGGGCACATTGCTGGCTCATGGTCATCCTGTTGTCCGCTAGGACTCCCAGGTCCCTTTCCACAGAGCTGCTCTCCAGCACGTCAGCCCCCAACCTGTACTGATGCATGGGGTTACTCCTCCCCAGATGCAGTACCTACACTTGCCCTTGTTCAGTTTCATTAGGTTAACACAAACTTATGTAAGGGGATATGCACAAAATTTTGTTTTTCAAAGCCTTGTATTAGATGGTTTTCTAACAAAATGTCCTTAAAAGTTTCATTAATGTGTGAATTTTCAAGATGAGGATAGCCCACTGCAGATTAAGATTTTGCTTGTGGAAGAGGATGGTGCATACGTACATGCACACAGCACAAAATCTGCCAGTAGTCTGGTTTTTGGTGAACTTTATCTCATTTTACACACTCTACTAATTGCTGTCTTTCAGATGTAAAAATAAATTATTTTCTGTCTTATGGGAGATGCATTGTTTGACTTCAGATATTTAATATGGTATTTTTTCTGTGGACAATAGCTTGAGGCCCCAAACTGGCAAGAATGAGAGCGTATCTATAAATAATTCAAAATAATTGTATGGTTTTGACAGATTGTCAAGTTGCTTAATGCCTTTTGTCCCAGGTAATAGATTATATTTCTTTGATAAAGTGTTGATAATTTCTCATTGCAATTTGTTTTGTGTATGTTCTATTTTTACAGAGTCCAGTCAGGTTCATATCTCAGTACGGGTTGGTTTACCTTAATTTTGGCTATGGATGCCTGCTATGGAATTCACGTCTATGGGATGATAAATGACACCTACTGCAAGTAAGATCACAGGAAATTATTTTCATGCATCTACAATTCTGATGTCTTGTCAAAATTTCACAATTGATTTTAAAATCATAAATCCAAAAAATGGATCAGGCAGTCATTTCCCAGTGTTTTGCATTGATGTGACACTATTGTCAGCATATTTAGTCCTGATATGGCATTTGCCGTTGATCAAATAAAAACATTTCCAAAATCTAACATCAGATGTCATAAGGAACTATTTTTAATCAAAGATCTTTTGCAGTTTCTGAATTAGCTGGAAACAAAGTATGTTCATACTCTTCTTACAAAATGTACTTACTCCTACTGCTAAAACAAATCTATAGAGGAAATATTAATATATTAGCTCTCTGAATACCAAATACACCTGGAAGTGAAAGAAACTGATTAGCCCAGGATAGTTACCTGAAATTACATTTCACCACTATTGAGCAAACTACTTGAACTTTCTAGGTTACATATGGCTTGTTTTGAGTAGTAGGGGGGTTCTAATTAGATAATAAAACAAGTCCTGCAAGCTTTATCACAGTAAACTGACATAAATTCCAACCAACTGCTGTTAGTGACCTTATAGTGACAATGGATTAATCCTATTGTCAGAAGTATAACTCTAAACACAATTTTTAAAAGGCCAAGTTAAATGCTTTAATCTCCAGTATATGGTAGCAAAATATAAAATGAAACTATTCCTCATTCAGAAAAGCAGGAAATGTCATAAACAATGTATGACACTAGTACAAATCTATTCTTCTATACCTAGGGTGCTTCAAGTCTTGCATGTAACCAGTCTGGTGGGTCCTCAGCTCCTAGAGTAAAGTCTTTGTGCAGACCCTCCCTCCACATTCTGTGTTACTCCAGTGTGGGACTTATTCCTGGCAGACCCTAAAAAAAAAAAAAAAGAATAAGAATTTGAGTCACAGCTGTTTAATAAGGGTATCTTAACGTTAGAGACTGACTTTTCAGAACTTGCAGATCTCACTGATTGAGTGAGTCATCCAGATGGAACGAACATATGTGTTCTTTGTTTATGAAAACACAGTAGACGCCCTGAGATGAGGGGTGACAGGACTATAGTTGTCCTCACAGAGTTCAGCCAAGCTGGCATTGCATAGCCCTGATGTAAAACCAGTTAACAGCATGATAGCACTTCAGTCTGTTGGCAGCAGAGAAGGATGGGTTTCCTTAGAGCTGCAATTCTGACTGCATTACCTACTTATAATTTATATTGTTCTTATAACTGCCTTATTCAGACAGTTCAAGAAACTGTTTCAAGAGTTGGGACTATCCAAAGAGAAGACTTTGCTTAGGGATGGAGCATTATGGACTGAGTTCTCACAGGTTAAACAAAACGTGCAGTACCCATAATAACTGGCCCAACAGCTTCTTACTGACTAGTAAGATAAGTGTATTTTGAGAGATACATGTAGCTTCATTTTCTATAGGAAAATTCATACAAATCTTGCTGTAATGAAAGCCCTTATACAATTTAGCAAAGGAGTTCAGGTGCTGACACATGGAAAGGATTTCAGTGAATTCAGGTGCAGTATGTATTAATGTTTTTTCTTGCAAGTAGTACTTAAGTGTATCTTTTTTTTCCCTAGGTCAGAAGGCTTTCGTAAAGTTCCCTACCACTATTATGAGCCAGGAAGAGATGAGTGTGAGGAATACTTTCTGCATGAAAATGCTCCATATGGAGGCCACAGGTTTATCACGGAAAAGAAAGTATTTGCTAAATGGGCAAAGAAGCACACAATAATATTTACACACCCCAACTGGACAGTGTCTTGATACTGGTTTTCTTAACTCTCCCTTAACAGCATATTACAAAAATGTCTCAGTTTACAATAATTTTGCTTACATCTGGCTGGCCTTTCTCAGCCTAGGTAACACTAAGCTAAAAACTAGAAGACAAAGAGGGTGATGGTTCAGCTGTTAAGCAAAATTAATCAATCTGTGGAAGGCAGACACATTGTTTGTTATTTCTTAGGGTTTTACTCCACACAAGGCACTTTATACTTAAACTGGATTTTACTTCAAGGCAGTAGCAGTTACAGGCAGATGAGATTTCCTGTATATACAGGTGCACACAGAGAACACGGTGGTCCTTTAAAACTTGTCCAACACCTTAGTTAATTAAAATTAGTATTTGTAGCTCATTTGCAGTACTGCAGCACTAGTTCCATTGTGGTGTCAAGTAGAAATTTTCCACAGAAGAAATAAGAGGAAAAAGATAGACCTCCAAGGTCTATGAGTGAGGAAATTTTAAAAAACACCTGAGTACATTGCTATATGTGAGCACTTGCATATATGGTAAAATTAGAGATGAGCTAAATGTGGTTCTTGAACTGCACACTACTTTCACATGAGAAGACAATATTTACTCCAGGCTCCTGATTAATTCATAACTTCTGAAATGCAGCTTCCTTCCACCCTGGTCATGCTGCACCATCTTGCATGATGTGGTTTTGTACTTTTTGAAGCTGTTGTCCCACAGTTTAGCTCTAACATGACACTTAGCAAAGAAAGTTTTTGCAGCCTATGATGAATCTTTGGCTGTTGTACCAAGCCCACTGTCAGTACCCAAGCTGGTTAGTGTAAAGTTGCCTCATGAACATCTCCATTTGCTCCAGTTGTGCCTTTGAGTTGCTCCAACATCCAAATACCAGTATTTTGACAGTATTTTCCATTATTATTCATTTTAAATCTCCAGTTTCTCCATCTTTAAAAATTGGGATAGTGTCTATCTACCTGACAAGGGAGTTGTGAGGATTAATTTAAGTCCATAAAACACTTTCCTGATGAAGAATGCTGCAGAGCATTTATTCTTAACACAAAAACAATGGTACCTGTCATGTATTCTTTTCTGTTGGGTATTTGAAGAAAGTGGCAGCATGTCTGGATCTGACGGAGAATTGTTCTGTGCATCCACTTTCCTACTGAGGATAATTTGTAATACTGAGTTCTCTCAGCTTGCATTGCTTCAGACGGAGTTGAAAGAACTCACCACCTTGCAGTATTATCTGCACATCAAGAGGCAGTTCAAGAATTTTAAAATATACTCATCTCTAGTTGAAATATGTATTTCCAAGCTTATTCTCATGGAAAGTTTTCAACTGCAGTAGACTCATTTGTAATATGACCATAATTCAACTGCACATGTGAGTTTTATTTAAACTGTATTTAAATTAATGCTTTAAGTTTAGAATGTGTCCTATGAATATTTTAACATCTGGAATGTCAGATTTAACACTGTAATAGCCAATACTGTGAACACTTGAAAGAATTATGTGTGGAACATGACACACAGGGTTTACTCACACTACTTAAACATTAACCAACAGGAAACTTTGTATGCTTTTGTAAATCATGAAAATGGGAAAGTAAACAGATATTTTTACATGTAAGTATTTGTATACTGACTCTTTCCTATTGTATATTTGTATATATAAATCTATATTTTCTATGTTCATGGCATATATATTCTCTCATTAGCAGCTGCAACTCTTGGGATGGGAAGGAAGTCTCTTAACCAGTGTTCCTCCTCCTGATCATTGATTTCTTGTTCCTTTTGGTAGGTGATGCCAGGATATCATCTCTCTTGCCCCTTCTATTTTCTACAATAAATGCAGCTTTCTGATTTTATTTCCAATATAGGTCAGCTTTCACTGCTTACTTTAGTGCTATAGGTGTTTGTGCTGGTTGTCAGGCAAAGGCTGGGGCCATGCTTATGATTATGGATAAACATCTATATTCAAATACAGGCTCTGTCACAGACTTCTTGCATGACTTGATGTCTCACTTTCCTGTTTGGAAAAGGAGAAAAATAATATTTCCCTACTCTCTGTCTTCACTGACTTTCTTGTACGCTCTTGAGACATATCATCTCATTTGGAATGTATTTGTATAATGCCTTGCAGAAGAGGTGCCCAAAGTGTCTGAAGGCTACAGGCAATGCTATAATATACAAATAATTTAAGGTGGCTGCTTCTTGTCCCTGGAGTTTAAAATCAATTGTAGGCTAATGGGATGAAATCAAGAGGGGGAAGGGTCATGGATGGATGAAAAGTTGTAGGCACAAAAGACAGTGAGCTAGATTTATTGCTGTATGCCTATGCAACTTTTCAGTTCAGATGGATGGCTGGACAGATGGAAAGCTAATTAAAAAATTGTAATGCAGGATTTGAAGAATGCAGGACATGCAGAACTAGAGAGAATGCTCCGCGCATATTGTACAGGGCAGCCTGGGAAAACCTATAGCTCCCTTGTGGGAAGAGGAGCTGAAAAGAAAAACATCGGTCAAATTGAACTTGTATTTAGAAGGTCTTTGGGTTAATAGAAAGTTACTATGAAAGTGTTGCACATGGAAGCGAAGTGGGCTGGACAGACTTATATGAGAAGTGTCCTCATGAAGCATAGTCTTTCTCTCCAATGAGAACGGCATAAGGATTCTGCCTGAGTTGTGTTCACATGCAAGACAGTTTTTAAGCCTGAGAAAGTTTTTAAGATAATTAAGACTTGCCAAATTGCCATAAGTCTGTTGTAAAATGCGTACTTCAGAGTGAAGCTCTTTGTAGAGTGCTCGCACGCTGTATGAAACAGTATCTCATGCAAAGGCTAGCTTAGCTCTAAGAACAGCTAAATGTACAGCAAAATTGAGAACATCATTAGAGTGCAGTTGTCACAGAGCAAAGTAAAAGTGTTGCGCTCTGCTTGGATTTGCAGTAAGAGCAGATCCACTTTTAGAAACATTGCAGCAGGCTTCATTCACACTAGAATAAATGAACATCAGTTCCCTTATTTAAATGAGCCTGTCTTTAGCATAAACTGAACACATATTTGCATGATTTTTATTATATGAGTAAGGAACTGTGACCGTTGTGTTAAAGATGATTCTATGAAGAAATTGCTTCATCAAAATCTTTTAAAAATCAGCACTGTGGTACTGGAGAAAGAATCTCAGCACTTGGCTGTGTGGTAAGAGACCTTGATGATTCACCTTATGAGAGCAGTTAAGACATCAGCTGAGAATCATTTATTAATTCTTTAAAATAAAGCCTACTACAGTTTACCTGAATGTAATCAGATCCTAATTGCTTATTCATTCAAGCAGTCCTATTTTAATCAACTACTCATGTGTATAAAACAAGCAGGGAGTTTACCTGAGGTTTTCAAAATAGATCTTCACATTGCTGCTGATAGAGGAATACTCACAAATAATTTGGTAATTTTTTTGCCATCAGTCAGCTAAGTAGTCACCAAATGTTTTCTTTTATAATGTAGTTAGTTTTCTAATAGACTTTTTTAAGAAAAAAAAAAAAGGCATTTATTATTTGGCTTGCTGTAGCTCTGGTTTTAATGAACATCTAAATTTTAGTATGTTTTATCTTGCATTGCCTTCTGATTTATTTTTTTTCAAGGAGAAAAAAAGTTTTAAATAGGAGCAGAAATTTTCCTAGGGGAAAAAAAAAGAATCTTTTTGACTGGCTGATTGCTAATTCACAAGTAATTAACTGAATAACACAAAAAAGCTAGGGTTTGTTTTTCCAAATACAGCAGGCATGATCCCAACCTTCTCATCCCCACTGGATGTCCAGATCACTTCCCTCTGACTATACCAATGTCTCTTCTCAAAAACAAAAGAGTAGTCTATGTAACCAGCCAAATTCCCTTTCCATCTGGGCTGGGAGGCTCCATCTGCAGACTGCTTGTATCAGTTACATCAGTAAGCAGGAAGGACTGAGGAAGCGTTCTACTTAGGAGCAGATGGTGTTCCAACTTCTATAAAATGCCCCTAAAGTGCTTTAAGACAGGAGTACCCATTGATCTCTCCTGGAAATACTTTTCCAAAATATTCTATTTCTTCAAATGCCTTTAGCTCCTGTGTAGGATTATTGTCCTACTCTCACCAGTAGGAATTACCAGCAATGGGAAAACACGCCCTTTACAGGAAGAAGCAGAGGCAAATTCTGTGTTGTTAAAGATTTCTATATAAACAACACCAGGGATGAAGAAGTCAGCCTGATACAACTTATCTGAAGACTCACTGATTTAGGAATCTCTGAGGACTCAGTTCAAAACTGATGGAAATCACTTAGGCAAGTTCATGAATACAGTGCCCATCCCAGTAAAATCTTTGCACTCCTGGGTACTAAGGTAAGCAGTGTATTGTCTGAGAGGAACTGTGAGCACATAATGCATTGCAGACCTAATAAAAAGGAGCCCATCCAACACTTGGAGGGCTCACGCAGATGGTCTTTATTCACCAGCTTCTGAGCTGCACAAAAGTAGGACCCCACACAAAGATAGTTGGCAGCAGAGCACAGATGCTCAACCAGAGGACATGTCCAGTGATTAAATAAGTAATTGCTCATGAATTATAACTGTATGGGGCCCTTAGTAGCTAGAAAATCAGAAGCACTTTACATACCGATGCTTATATTTTGATGACATTTTTTTTCTGCATGTATCTTGGAAATAGCATACGTCTTTAGTTGTGCTTGAGCAAGTCTGGGGTTTGTTTATGATGAACCTTCGGGTAGTCACAACAGTGAAACTCTGTGTTAGTGGCAAAGGATCACACAGGAGCTGTCTGTGGGCATTGTGATGCACTGCATACAACAGAGTCATGTATTTACTAAAAAAGGCCTAGTTTTCCTGAATAAGCATAGTTCTTTTGAGGAGAAAGTGTTTCATTTTCAGCAGATGTGTCTCATTCTGTTCCTTCTTTCCCAAGAGGATGCAGGGTAATGTGAGTTAACCATGAGGGAGTGAAGAATGGTATGGTAAAT